TTTCCCTTTTTTGAATTTACCTTCAATTGGAGACTGGTATTTTTGTTATACCTACTTTTCAGAGGGAACCATTTGTAAAAAATAAAAAGCAAAATCTGGAGTCACTCTACTTAAAAACAAAGCAGCAAGCATAGCGTTTAATTAATTCCTTTCATGGAGAGACTCTTGAATGTGACTCGTTATAGTTGTCAGACCACTAATTCAAAACCCATATATAATCAACCAATTTTTTTTTCAATTTACACAGCTTTCTAATATTTTACCTTAAGTTTAACTTCATAGAAACCAGGTATATTCTGAATTGTACATGTATCACCTTTCTATTTGCTAATTTTCAACCAATGTTTAACGTCTTACAGTGAAACACCACTGTTCGGAAGTCAACTTGTACTAAAAATAATCCCATGGTTTTCTGGAAATCTTAAATAAGTATACCATGGAGCGCATTGGTACCCAATTTTTATTGCAAAATCATTGAAAAGTAAATATTGACTCAAAATAGTCTACACATATATCTCTTTCACCAAAAGTTTCATTTCTGCAAATTTGTTTGTTAGTTTAAGTAAACAATGACATCAAAGCACTACTTTTAGCTAGGGTAGGGTCACTTTTTTGTTCTAAATTGAAGTCGGTGAATTGCCACGGTGATCTGACACCTTATAATATTTTTACCTGCAATGAGTAACACCACGGGTGCCCCTAATGGAGCATCTAAATTAATCAACGGCTTTGTGGGGATAGTGTTACTCAATCTTTAGTTTTCTGTGCAGTGTTTTTTTCTTATTTTTAATACTGAGAAATATATCAACAATTTATGTAATGCCTTGTTTATAGGGAAAACGCAGAGGGGTTTACAATATAAAGCAAAGTGGAAAATAACAGCAGGGTCAGAACATCATCACTATTGTTCGTTTTAAAAGAGAGGCGAAGGATACCAAAGGGACAAGTCGAAAATAAACTGACAACGCCATGGCTAAAAAGAAAAAGACAAACAACAGTACACAAAACACAACATAGAAAACCAAAGACTAAGCATCATGAACCCCACAAAAAACTGGGGGTGATCTCAGGTTCTCCGGAAGGGTAAGCAGATCCTGCTCTACATGTGGCACCCGTCATGTTAGTACAAACCCGATGATAAGTCTTATCCGGTAGGTCACATTCGTAGAAAAGTGGATGGGATTGTAGTTACGACAATTGGAACATATCTGTTGTCATCTGTGAAACGGATATTCAAAAACGGTCAACCAACGCGTGATGGCGTCCGTAAAATTTACGAATGGACGATTTCAACTTCACTACTTGGAATTCTCGGTTAAATATCTTCATTGTGAGCAGGAACCCTCTATCCAGGAAATCATGATTGGAAATACAAGCCCTGTAATATCGTATCAACTGGGAGATATATACTCCGTATGCAGGTGCTGCTTGAATGTTGCTACATAAAAATAGGAAGTTAACAATTGGGAAGCTTAAATCATTTCTTTTGTCGTAAAGTTTTGTTTTCAACCGACCATCATTGTCAACTTTGATAGGCACTGTAAAAATCTTTCACAGTTTGACTAAACATGGTGCGATTTTTATCTGACATTTGATCGGGACAATTGTTTTTTTTCACTCAGACCATTATGCATTTTTTTTTTTTTTTAATGTGTTGTCTGATTAACATAGAATAGACTTTTAGCCGATATCTTTCTTTCTGAAAATAAAGAGATGTGTTATCTACGTAAGGCAAAAATTCAATATGAAATAAATGAATGAAATAAAAATAATAATAATAATAATAATATTACTAAAAATAAAAATATAATAACAAAAATAAAAATAAATTAATAATAATAATAATAATAATATAATAATATTAATAATAATAATAATAATAAGAATGATAAATAATAATTCAAAGAAATAATGACGCAGTTCTTTAGATCCTTCTATGACCATATACATATGCAAGTATATATTTTTTTAAACCACGGGTTATTGCCCGGTTATCATTTTTATCAGACATGCAATAATAAAAGATATCTTTACGTAATAAACAACATGATATCACGTAACTACAGGGTTCATGTAGTCGTGTACTTTACACCTAACATAACCCAAACTCCTGTACGACGCAGACTTTAACAACATCAATACTATTTTTAACAGATTCGATCACGCTCGACTACCCACCTACACCGGACTGATTGTAATATATAATAAGGTCTTTTGTCATTGTTAGACATAACACATTTATACATACAAGGTAAGCCTTTGTTTAATCCAAACAATATATATCTATTTACATTTTGATAATTTTATCATACATGTGATACAATTATTTGAATATTATTGATGAAATCAGAGACATATAATACAATTATTATATGTCTCTGATAAAATACATAAAAAAAAAACAAAAAAACATTATTTAAGCACTTTCTCCAAACAATTATACTGCATATATGTACTATTTTAATCAGCTGAAAGGCCTTTCCTTTTTATCTATTTTTTTCAAACTTTCGTAAAAAAGTAACGGATTATTTTCCTGATTATCAATATCTTTGATGACTTTTTTATCATTTAAAACTGAAATGTCATTTACATTTATTAATATAAGGAATGAAAGTGTACAACCTTGTGGTACTCCAAACATCATATATAAAATATGGAGATGTGGTATGATTGCCAATGAGATAACTATCCACCAAAGTTCAAATGAAGTGGATGTAAGCAATTATTGGCAACTGTACGGCCTTTAACAATGAGAAAAACCTATATATTCAGTTTACAACAAGCGTCAACAAACAGCCTTGATAGTTCCGTTTAATTTATTAATGTTAGAATGGAATGTGCACAACCTTGAGATACTCTTAACTTTATATTTGTTGTATTATTAAAACCTCAAAGTTCATTCTGATATAGTAATTTAAGGATGAAAATTGCACACTGTGACCTTGTGGTACTCCAAACGTCATATATTTTTACAATTTAGAGATAACTGTATTGTATTTGAAGCTTTGCGGACGTCCATCGGTAGTTTTACTGTCGCAAATTTAGTTTACCTGGCGACGCGTAGCGGAGACAGGTAAACGGGTATTTGCGACAGTAAAACTACCGATGGACGTCCGCAAAGCTTCAAATACAATACAATTATCTCTATTCTAATGCAAAATAAACAAATCATTCAATTTTAGTCATTACTTCTTTACAAAATTTTCATTAAACGAAAATTCCGCGAAATGATGTTATCTTCTTTGGCGCCTAAATTAGGTGACGTCATAGGTATGATTCCGGCATCAAACGTAAACACCGGGCGTTTTCTGGCTTCTTGTCCGCTTCAAAATGTAATAGAATTTGATGAAAAAATGATTTGTAGGTCCAAATGTGAGTTTTTTTGCTTATTATTGGAGAAATTACATGCCAATGTATTCCGAAATTCAAAATGTCGGATTCCTTAGTTACAGACAGGGAGATTGAGAATTGTACGCTTGTCGTCATCCAATCAGAGCCATTGATACAAACTAATTGCATTAGTATAAGCATTAGCATCGAGTCCTGAAACTTCATTCCTATGTAGTAATGTAAGGATGGAAATTGCAATATCTTGAGGTATTTCAAAAGTTACACTATAAAAGGGGAGGGATTTATTTTAATTTTTATATAAAGACCAGTTAAATCGCGGAAGTATCCCCTTCAAGTTAATTTGATGTATATGGAAGATCAGAGACAGGAACAAGCATGCCAATATAATCACATAATCATTATTTTTTTTTTTAACAAGATAATCAAATAATATGATATTATTACGTGAGTATTTCTGTATTGGCCTTGTTATTGGTCCGAGGCTTGCTGTATTGGCCTGAGGCGAAGCTGAAGGCCAATACAGCTGGCCGAGGACCAATAACAAGGCCAATACAGAAATACACGTAATAGTATCTTTATTAATTAACTACAGTGTTACAATATTTTTTTTATTTCATTTCACAAGAGATAAACATTTTTACCTTGAAGTGGAACTATCCAAATCTCAGTTTCTTTTTATAAGATGCTCTATCTAAAGATCTGGTGTCGTTTCCAGGTGTCTTCAGCATTTTCTCATCTGATGAATTTTTCTACCCTTTCCAGTCACTATAAAGTGTTACAATTTAAATTTAGACACAACACATAAATAGTAATTGGAAAGGTACTGCCATTGCATGTGTTATGCAGAAACAAACTGAAAAAATAATGTAGGAGTTGAAAATGATACAACTATCCATAAGCCAACTGACCAAAGAACGAAGATTTGCACAATTACAGGTCACCCTTCCAGAATGCATATGCCTGGTTCGGGTTTAAAAATAAATGACAGTTTACAAAACATGAGAAGCGAAAGTAAACAGTAAATCGATTTGTACCATCGTGAAATTATGAGGTCGACAAGAAATGAACTTTGTGATAATCTACTCGTTTCCCAAACCTGAAATAATTCCATCGTCTGCTTTCAAAATGCTTTTTAAATGAATGTGACCGTCTTAAGCCTGAAATATATGCCATACTGAACGTTTCAGCATGTTTATGGTGAGTAAATAAAAACTGCGTCTTCCAAACAACTGTTTACTTTCAGTTTGTGTTTATCGTGACTTTCGATCTAAAACTAGAGACGTTCCGAAATCCTGTATTGGCCGGATCAGAACTCGGCCAATACAGAAAAAAAATCTATATTGGCCGAGTTGACACCTTTATATTGCATAGGCAGTTTTCATCATATTAAGTTCAATAACAGTGTAGTTAATTAATAATCAAAAATACAGTCCTAGATTATCAAATAATCAAATAATCATGAAATATTTGGTCTGGTAATCAAATAATCACTATAAAAAACGGCCAAGTAATCACATAATCAAAAAACCCATGAGGAGGCTCATAAATCCTCGCGAACAGGTTTGACGTCAGAAATCTTGAAATTGATACTCCACGAAATTCAGCACTTTACAGTATCTGTTTACACTTAACAGGTAGAAACAATGAACATTTCCCCTGCTGTATCAACATGGAGTCTCCGGTCCTGGTCAACTCCTATACTGAAAAGAAAGAAGAAATCTTTGACACAGAAACTGGATATAATACCAAAGAAAAAAGTATCGACAGATTCTTCTGTTGGGTCTATAGACAAGGTCGATTCCGAAGGCAGAAGTTTGCTTTTCTATGCTGCTACTTTCGGAACAGTAGAAGTTGCTGATCAGCTCCTTAAATCAGGTTGTGATCCGAATGTACAGGATGTGAACGGTGATACTGCACTTCACGAGGCTGTATTAAATGGACATCTAAAACTCATTCGGCTATTACTCAAAAAAGGTATTGGACATTGATTATTTAATGTAAATCTTATCATAGATGAAAGTATTTAAATCAATTATCGTTTTTTTTACTGAGAAAAATTGGATATTATATCATATGATCTGAATTCTATGAAAGAAATAGCTTTTTACTGAAAAGGTAATGGTTTTGCACACTGAAAGTACTTATCAATTATCGAACTATGAATCTCTATTCAAATGCAATCCTTCAACATTATTCTATTCTATTCAATTCTACACAGAACACAGATTCACTTACATTAATGAGGGTGTGGATGGGGGTTTACAGAATAGAGAATAATGAGCAAAAAATATAAAGATAAAGTTTATGTTTTCATTACAACAAATTATTAATGTTTCCTTTGATCGTTCTTTTTCTCAGCTGTAAATATGGACGTAAACGTCAAGAATGGACAAGGAGAGACACCTTTAATGATTGCTGTCCATCAGGACCAGATCGACGTGGTCAAACATCTACACAAAACAGGTAGGTCATCTGTCATTCATTGTTTTTTTATTAGTACAAGTTTCAAACAAATTCACATTTGTTTAGGATGGATAGATAGATAGACATGTACAGTCTCTAAGAACTATGTATACACCTGTTGCACTTTGATGTTAGAAAAGTAAATGTATACAATAACAGGACGACCATTTTATTAAAAGGAGAGAAAAGGAGACCGGAGGATATTGTTTCGGGCGGAATATTCATTTACACCTCGTCGTGTGAATCTTATAATGATGTATTTCCTATTTGGTAATAGTTGATAAAATTTAAATTAAAGTTAAAAAGCACAATATCATAAATATTTGACTTTGACCTTAAAAGTAATGTAGGAATCGGATTTACGTACACGAATAGTGACTCTTGTTCGGTTGTTTTTTTTGTTTGTTTTTGTTTGTTTTTGTTTTTTGAAAGACAAGAAGCTTATATAAATAAATCATCCCCTCACAAGTTTTCTGGAGATAGAACACTTCACAACAAATAATGTAGTTTTTAGAAATTTATCCCTATATTTCTATTGGAGAAAAACCGTGGATTTTTTTAACTGTGTAATATCCCCAACTCTGGACTGCTGGATTTGCTAAGAATTGCTCATAGATTGAGTTCAAACCATGCAATCATTTTAAGAATAGTACTTCTAAGATAATTTCGATTACAATTATTTTACAGCAAAAATACCTAAAAAAAATAATAGAGATAAAATTGTGTTATGAATAAGCTATTTAATCCATTGTGAGTGTGATGATAGAACAGTATAATTCTGACAAACATTCGTAGAATGTAGAAATCTCGTATTTTAGTTGTATAGGAAGATATATAGACCATTGCACTTGGATTTCAAATATATAGCTATCTACATTTTTATCAAAGTGTACATCATACGCTTAAAGATTCACACGACGACCTGTTGCGAGTGGGTCTCATTGGTGTATAAGCGTGATGCGGGAGTGGCCGATTTTTTGTAAGCGTGACACGTGAAAGGTCAAATTATTTTACGTGAAAACGGGAAACGTGGTCTGGCGGGACACGTGAAATTACAAGCGCTATTACTACAATGATAAGCAGGATCCTGGATCAAACACCCTCCCCCCCCCACCCCCCAATGAGACCCCCTTGCCAGATCGGATAATTTATTTTCACTTTTCAACACAACTATTTCCTGCATTCTGTAAGACAGAAATATTCATATCAATCATGTCTCCGTCAATTTAACCATTCATGATATCACTTTCCGAAATGCTTCTGACCAATCCCCCCTCCCTAAAATCTACTGATCATTCCACAAGGGAGCAACCATTTAACTTCAAGGGAGGGGGGGGTTTGGTTTTTTGTCTGAGTCAGAAAATGTTTTGAACATTATCTTTTTAGTTTTTCTACCCTATCAATCAAATATTTTTTTTCAAAATTTAGCACTACAAGGTATGGGGAAAATCTGGATTCAGAATATTCTTTTTGGTCGTCTGCTTGACCACAATATTTTTTTTCATCAAATTGGGGATCAGAATATTTTTTTAAGGAAAAATCCATAACCCCCCCTCCCCCCGTTTTGAAGTTGAATGGTCGTTCCCTAAAAGTTGTTAACATGCATCGTGTAATCCCCCTTATCTTTCGGAAAAGTGTAAACGACATTTTCATTTATGTTAGTCATGTATCCATTAAAGCACTTTTATGTGAACCATACATTATAGCAATGTTATTCATTTATTTGTCTTATATGTAGTGGAGTGATTAACGGCTGCCGGTGTTATGAAGTCACATCCATCACCGTAACTGGGTTTATTTTAGCTAACTGTGTATAGTTTACTTGTCACTCTCCTTTCTTTAATACAGGTGATCTCTCACCCTTTGCTATTGTTTTCCTGAAACGTCGTTTGTCTTTTATTCAAATCTTTGATGATTTTAGATTGGTAATGCTCCACCTAAATAGACTGTCTTGTAAGAGCAAAGGAAAGCACGCCATTTTTATCATACTTTTTATTTGTAACCTTGACGTTTTTGTGTCATCTTAATTTATATTCTAGCATAGAAAACGAAAATATCTGTCAGTCTTTTTCTTTAAAAATATCAAACTTTCGCTTTCATTATCTATTTTTCTGGAAATAAAGTAGATTTTTTTATCAGAATTTGCTGACGTACTTAAACTGGTTGTATTTTCCTTAGAACTGAGTCGTTCCCGAGAATACACACAACTATCAAGAATGTTATATTTCCGGGATCATGTATGTCTATTTGTCATTTTTGTCGACCCTGCATATGTTCGTGGTTAAAGTTTATTTTAGACACCGATAACTTTGCCAAACTTTCATGGAATTGTATGAAACTTGGACTGAAACTTTTAGTAATCAAGAGATAAAACTCACTGCAAAATTTTGAAGAAAACAAAATTTCTTCATTTTCCAGTATTTTACTGAGGTTTTTGTAGTTTACATTAAGATACATTAAGATACATTTTTTTTTGTACAGTCAAAAGTTTTTTAAGGCATCTATAAATTTGTCTGGGACAGACGGTTTTTTATAATCAAAAGACTGTATCCAGAGACAGATTTTGAAAACTTTTTCTCCATTATTTCTTCATATTTACTGATAAAAGGACTAGCTCAAGTGTTTTGCAAAAAGCGCAGTTAACACTTAGATACAGTTTGGGGTTAAAGGTTTTAACGCGACAATAAGTTTTATTCAGATTTTCATACAGTTTTATGAAACATTGTCAGGAGCCTTTTTTGAAAAAAAAATAAAACGATTATATGTTTGATTTTACTTCTTTTGGTTGCTCTTACTTGACTGAGTACCAGGATGTCCTAACCCAGAGTAGCCGGTAACCTGTCGAAAAATAATGTAATCCGGAGTCAAAAGTCGTTGTACGAAGATAGTCTATTCCGGGAAACAAAATTGCATTTCTTTCATCTATTGTTTACATTTTTTCAGATGAATTATGTCATTGTTTTATGTCATTAAGGTGGGAAATTATGTAATCCTATTTATTATGAAACGTTTCAATTTTAGTAAAATTAATTTGTTGTGTATAATTTCATTAACAAAATCTGAAACAACATGTGAAATATATAGAGGTGACTTAGTTCATCCCATCCCTACTTCTAGGAAAGTCTGGGTTAACAGAAAATATGCTATGTACAATAATGTAGGTAAAGTTCTTGTAATATATTACGCAGATGTTCATGGGCTTTTTCCGTGACTTGTAAATAAAGTGCTTACGTATTGTTTGTGCATTTTATATGTTTGTGTACAATATATGCATATTTCTGTTTTCTTCAAACGAGTATTAAGTTAATGAAACTTGTGACTCATAAGTGCATAAGTTAAAAACACTAATCTAAAAAGCAAATCTGCTAGAATTTGCTTGAAGAAAAAAAGATATATATTTCAAACATTCATTCACATTACAAAAAATTATTTCAGGAGCAAATATTCATGACACTGACCACATGGGCCGAAGTGCTTTACTGATAGCATCCGAACAAGGATCGGAGAAATGTTGTCAATATTTGATGAAACATGGTGTGGACATTCAAATGAGGGATAACTTGGGTCATTCAGTTTTATTTTATGCCTTACACAGCAGGACGCTATCGGTTCAACTTATTAAACAAATTATAAAATCAGGTAAGGACATTTACTTTTGTGCGGGAAACTTTATCTGCTCTGATAAATACATATACTCAATAAACTAATAAATACATATACTCCATACACTGATAAAAACATATATTCCATAAAATGATAAACTGATAAATAAAATACATAAACTCTATAAACTGGTTAATACATGTACTCCATAAACTGATAAACACATAAACTCCATACACTGATAAATACATATACTCCATAAACTGATAAACTGATAAATACATAAACTCTATAAACTGATAAATACATGTACTCCATAAACTCAGATGAAGGGAACAAAGTAAATATATTAAAACTGTAATCGCAGAATAATGTCCTCATGCAGCAAACTTAAAATAAGCGAGCTCTCATTTAGTATGAAACTATAATAACTAAGGACATATATAGACCATCGCACTACAGCGTACAGACCATCGCACTACAGCGTACAGACCATCGCGCTTCAGCGAACAGACAATCGCACTTCAGCGAACAGACCATCGCACTTCAGCGAACAGACCATCGCACTTCGGTGAAGACCATCGCACTTCAGCGTACAGATCATTGCACTTCAGCTTACAGACCATCGCACTTCAGCGTACAGACCATCGCATTTCAGCGTACAGACCATCGCACTTCAGCGAACAGACCGTCGCACTTCAGCGTACAGACCATCGCACTTCAGCGTACAGACCATTGCACTTCAGCTTACAGACCATCGCACTTCAGCGTACAGACCATCGCACTTCAGCGTACAGACCATCGCACTACAGCGTACAGACCATCGCACTTCAGCGTACAGACCATCGCACTTCAGCGTACAGACCATCGCACTTCAGCGTACAGACCATCGCACTTCAGCGAACAGACCATCGCACTTCAGCGTGACCATCGCACTTCGATGAAGACCATCGCACTTAAGCGTGACCATCGCACTTCAGCGTCTCCATCGCACCTCCGAGTCCTACACATATACTCAATAAACTGATAAATAAACTGATAAAAACATATACTCCATAAGCCGGTTAATACATATACTCCATAAACTGATAAATACATATACTCAATAAACTCATAAATACATATACTCCATAAAATAATAAATACATATACTCAATAAACTGATAGATAAAATTGAAAATGGAAATAGGGAACTTGTCAAAGAGACAACAACCCGACCAAAGAGCCGAAAACATCCGAAGGCCACCAATGGGTCTTCAACACAGCGAGAAAATCCCGCACCTTGAAACGGGCTTCAGGTGGCCCCTAAACAATACATATATTAAAAAAAACTGATAAATACATATACTCCGTAAACTGATAAATACAGATACTCCGTAAACTGATAAATACATATACTCCATAAACTGATAAATACAGATACTCCGTAAACTGATAAATACATATACTCCATAAACTGATAAATACATATACTTAATAAACTGATAAAAACATATACTCCATAAACTGATAAATACATATTCTCAATAAACTGATAAATACATATACTCCATAAACTGGTAAATACATATACTCAATAAACTGATCCATAAACTGATGAATACATATTCTCAATAAACTGATAAATACATATTCTCAATAAACTGATAAATACATATTCTCAATAAACTGATAAATACATATACTCCATAAACTGATAAATACATATTCTCAATAAACTGATAAATACATATTCTCAATAAACTGATAAATACATATTCTCAATAAACTGATAAATACATATACTCCATAAACTGATAAATACATATACTCCATAAACTGATAACGAACATATTCTCAATAAACTGATAAATACATGTACTCCATAAACTCAGATGAAGGGAACAAAGTAAATATATTAAAACTGTAATCGCAGAATAATGTCCTCATGCAGCAAACTTAAAATAAGCGAGCTCTCATTTAGTATGAAACTATAATAACTAAGGACATATATAGACCATCGCACTACAGCGTACAGACCATCGCACTACAGCGTACAGACCATCGCACTTCAGCGAACAGACAATCGCACTTCAGCGAACAGACCATCGCACTTCAGCGAACAGACCATCGCACTTCGGTGAAGACCATCGCACTTCAGCGTACAGATCATTGCACTTCAGCTTACAGACCATCGCACTTCAGCGTACAGACCATCGCATTTCAGCGAACAGACCATCGCACTTCAGCGAACAGACCATCGCACTTCGGTGAAGACCATCGCACTTCAGCGTACAGACCATCGCACTTCAGCGTACAGACCATCGCACTTCAGCGAACAGACCATCGCACTTCAGCGTACAGACCATCGCACTTCAGCGTACAGATCATTGCACTTCAGCGTACAGACCATCGCACTTCAGCGAACAGACCGTCGCACTTCAGCGTACAGACCATCGCACTTCAGCGTACAGACCATTGCACTTCAGCTTACAGACCATCGCACTTCAGCGTGACCATCGCACTTCGATGAAGACCATCGCACTTAAGCGTGACCATCGCACTTCAGCGTCTCCATCGCACCTCCGAGTCCTACACATATACTCAATAAACTGATAAATAAACTGATAAAAACATATACTCCATAAGCCGGTTAATACATATACTCCATAAACTGATAAATACATATACTCAATAAACTCATAAATACATATACTCCATAAAATAATAAATACATATACTCAATAAACTGATAGATAAAATTGAAAATGGAAATAGGGAACTTGTCAAAGAGACAACAACCCGACCAAAGAGCAGAAAACATCCGAAGGCCACCAATGGGTCTTCAACACAGCGAGAAAATCCCGCACCTTGAAACGGGCTTCAGGTGGCCCCTAAACAATACATATATTAAAAAAAACTGATAAATACATATACTCCGTAAACTGATAAATACAGATACTCCGTAAACTGATAAATACATATACTCCATAAACTGATAAATACAGATACTCCGTAAACTGATAAATACATATACTCCATAAACTGATAAATACATATACTTAATAAACTGATAAAAACATATACTCCATAAACTGATAAATACATATTCTCAATAAACTGATAAATACATATACTCCATAAACTGGTAAATACATATACTCAATAAACTGATCCATAAACTGATGAATACATATTCTCAATAAACTGATAAATACATATTCTCAATAAACTGATAAATACATATTCTCAATAAACTGATAAATACATATACTCCATAAACTGATAAATACATATTCTCAATAAACTGATAAATACATATTCTCAATAAACTGATAAATACATATTCTCAATAAACTGATAAATACATATACTCCATAAACTGATAAATACATATACTCCATAAACTGATAACGAACATATTCTCAATAAACTGATAAATACATATTCTCAATAAACTGATAAATACATATTCTCAATAAACTGATAAATACATATACTCCATAAACTGGTAAATACATATACTCAATAAACTGATCCATAAACTGATGAATACATATTCTCAATAAACTGATAAATACATATACTCCATGAACTAATAAATACATATACTCCATAAACTGATAAATACATATACTCCATAAAATGATAAATACATATACTTAATAAACTGATAAATAAAATTGAGAATGGAAATAGGGAACTTCTCGAAGAGACAACAACCCGACCAAAGAGCAGAAGACATCCGAAGGCCACCAATGGGTCTTCAACACAGCGAGAAAATCCCGCATCCGGAGACGGGCTTCAGCTGGCCCCTAAACAATACATATATTCAATAATCTAATAAATACATATACTCCATAAACTGATAAATAAGTATACTCCATAAACTGATAAATACATATACTCCATAAACAGAAAGATACATATACTAAATAAACTGATAAATACATATGCTCCATAAACTGATAAATACATATACTCCATAAACTGATAAATACATATACTCAATAAACTGATAAATAAACTTATAAATACATATTAAATAAACTGGTAAATACATATACTCCATAAACTGATAAATACATATACTCAATAAACTGATAATACATATACTCCATAAATTGATAAATAAATATACTCCATAAACTGATAAATACATATACTCAATTAACTGATAAATACATATACTCCATAAACTTATAAATACATATACTCCATAAACTGATAAATACATATACTCCATAAACTGATAAATACATATACTCAATAAACTGATAAATACATATACTCAATAAACTGATAAATACATATACTCCATAAACTAATAAATACACATACTCCATAAACTGATAAATACATATACTCCATAAACTGATAAATACATAAACTCCATTAACTGATAAATACATATACTCCGTAAACTGATAAATACCTATAATCCATAAAATGAACAATAAATATACTCCATGAAATGATAAATACATATACTCAATAAACTGATAAATACACATACTCAATAAAAAAACAACAATAAATTGTATTATGAAAGAACAATGCATGTTTTAACACAGTCAATATCACAAAACATCTGTATCACAAAAGAACAACAATGATCGGTATTAAAGTAAATAATAAAATGACCAATACAGCAACTATTTTCAACAATACTTAGTATTACAACAAACCACATATGACATATGTTACAACTGATAACAACAATGTAATATAACAGACAACAATGATCTGTATTACAACAAACCACATATGACATATGTTACAACTGATAACAACAATGTAATATAACAGACAACAATGATCTGTATTACAACAAACCACATATGACATATGTCACAGCTAATAACAACAATGTAATATAACAGACAACAATGATCTGTATTTCAACAAACCACATATGACATATGTCACAGCTAATAACAACAATGTAATATAACAGACAACAATGATCTGTATTACAACAAACCACATATGACATATGTTACAACTGATAACAACAATGTAATATAACAGACAACAATGATCTGTATTACATCAAACCACATATGACATATGTTACAACTGATAACAACAATGTAATATAACTGACAACAATTATCTGTATTTCAACAAACCACATATGACATATGTCACAACTAATAACTTATAATTTTAATTTTAAATTCCATTTTTAAGGAGTAAATCATGAAAAAATGTTGATAACGTGACGGTCACATGACAAAATTATGTCTATGAGCTGATAAACAACAAACTTTCAGCCAATCAGAAGACGTGTTACATCCAGTATTAAATTATTACTTCAATGTATTCATTTTAACTAAAAGAATATGTTTTGTTATAGGATATGATGTAAGCTTGGATGCGGATTGGGTAATTAGTGAAAACCATTCAGAAAACAGCTTGGGGAAATTGGATCCAAAACTGTGTCAGACCATACTAGACAAAATAGGAGTGCCTCATTTTGAAAGAGACTGCTACTGTAGACGTCCTAGTATCGGTAACGTCATTCTGACACGAATCTCTACGCTTCTCGTGGCACCAAACTAGTAAAGTCTAACGTCTACGTGAAGGAGCCACACAGCAAAATCCGACTTTGTCTTTTTAACTCAATCGGCAAATGTTGCGTTTAACGGAATAGATCGAGGTGTTATGGTTGGATGTATAATCAAAATTTATACTTTGAAAGACAAGTATTGAAAAGAACAGTGTAGTTCGACGATTTCTAATTTACACAATACTTTGTGTGAACATCGAAATAGAAAACTTTAATTCTATGAGGAAATTATCGGATTATGATATGTATAAAATAAAGTATAAAAACTTGTGAAGATTGTATATATTGTATATATTGATGTTATAACTAGCAGTGATGTCGACAACCAAACTGCAGTTATTTGCATAACCGCATGGTAGGACATCCGTAGGATTGGTGCTTATTAAAATCACATGATAGGATATATACAGGACCGATGCTTGTAAGAAGATGTAAAAAACACTGATGTTATTTGTGATCCACGAAATCCAGCTTGTTTAAGACATTGATTGGACTTAATTTTTGATATTCCATTGGTACATGTATCTTCTATCTTTTTTAAATCTATATGAATATGCTTATATGTAACATATATATAATAATTTCGTAACACTTTATACAATACATAATTAAAAATGAATCTTTGATGTATTAATGGTCGCTATACGAAGTAAAACCTGTTTTAACATTGAAATATGGATCGCACAATGTATATACATGTGTACAATACATATGCACGTTGTCAGAAAAAATAAAACTTATTAGTATGGGCTTTTGAAGCAGGACTTTTCTTCTGTATCGTAGCAAATACAAATAAATTTGATATTTTCGACAGTGTACATATATTGTTTCTATCCTGTAAACTGAACCCGTCATTTTAATGTGTATTTGTTGAAATCCAAATAGATTTCTCTGATTTTTCAAAGAAATCGAAATAGTTTAAACGCGGACCGCGAGTAGAACCCCAAAATGAGCTGTTACCCAAAAGGAAATCTTCACATTACCGTTTGCCAAACATGGAAGCGAAATAACAGGAGACTTTATTAGTACAAGTACAAATAAAGCAAAAATTTATTTGTGTAAATGTTATTTGTACAATAGTTGGCTCATTGCAGGATAAAAAGATTTACTGGTGCATAGTTGTCACATGGACTTCTCCTTTCAGGAATCAAGATTCGTGTTGAGTGGTAGGAACTGTTTATGTGTATATGGTTTATAAATACACAGATACGTTTGGTCTGAATGGGGACGTTAAATCTAATGTCTCATGCTTTTAGAGTGCCAATTTATCTGTTGACATACATGTATCGCCGCTCAACCTATTTTTGTAGAAAAAAAGGGTAGTTAATTTAATGCTTAACTTAATGTTTTCGTCATGACTGATATGCATGGAATAATAGGCCACTAGACACACACACAAACAGGAAAAGGCATTAAATACATCATGCTAAACATACTTTACAGTCAGTTAACATTGTGGGCATGTTTTCTTCTGTTCTTAGGTTGTAGGTGTGATCCGCTCTATTGTGATCTGAGATTTCGTGTTTTACTCTGTTGTGCGTATGAGTTCAAATCAGTTATTTTAATGTGGGTATGTGTCCATGTTTATGTGTTGTTATGTGTCCTGCTTTTTGCGTGTGTATGTGTCCCACTTTTTTGTGTTGGTATGTGTCCCACTTTTTTGTACGGATATGTGTCCCACTTTTTTGTACGGATATGTGTCCGACTTTGTTGTGGGTGTAAGTCCTACTTTGTTGTAGGTGTAAGGTGTACCATTTTGTTATGTAGGTATGTGTCCCACTTTGATGTGTGGGTATGTGTCCTACTTTGTTATGTAGGTATTTGTCCCACTTTGTTGTGTAGGTATATGTCCCACTTTGTTATTATGTAGATATGTGTCCTAGCTACTTTGTTATGCAGGTATGTGTCCCACTTTGTTATGAAGGTATGTGTCCCACTTTGTTGTGTGGGTAGGTGTCCTACTTTGTTATGTAGGTATGTGTCCTAATTTGTTATGAAGGTATGTTTCCCACTTTGTTATGAAGGTATGGGTCCCACTTTGTTGTGTAGGTATGTGTCCAACTTTGTTGTGTGGGTATGTGTCCCACTTTGTTGTGTGGGTATGTGTCCCACTTTGTTGTGTGGGTATGTGTCCCACTTTGTTATGATGGTATTTGTCCCACTTTGTTTTGTGGATATGTGTCCCACTTTGTTGTGTGGGTAGGTGTCCTACTTTGTTATGTAGGTATGTGTCCTACTTTGTTGTGTGGGTAGGTGTCCTACTTTGTTATGTAGGTATGTGTCCTACTTTGTTATGTAGGTATGTGTCCCACTTTGTTATGAAGGTATGCGTCCCACTTTGTTGTGTAGGTATGTGTCCCACTTTGTTGTGTTGGTGTGTGTCCCACTTTGTTGTATGGGTATGTGTCCCACTTTATTATGAGGGTATTTGTCCCACTTTGTTGTGTGGGTATGTGTCCCACTTTGTTGTGTGGGTATGTGCCCATCTTTGTTGTGTGGGTATATGTCCTACTTTGTTATGTAGGTATGTGTCTCATTTTGTTATATAGGAATGTGTCCCACTTTGTTATGTAGGTACGTTTCCTACTTTGTTATGTAGGTATGTGTCTTACTTTGTTATGTAGGTATGTGTCCCACTTTGTTATGTAGGTATGTTTCCTACTTTGTTATGTAGGTATGTGTCCCACTTTGTTATGTAGGTATGTTTCCCACTTTGTTATGTACGTAATATGTGTCCCACTTTGTTATGTAGGTATGTGTCCCACTTTGTTGTGTAGATATGTGTCCCACTTTGTTATGTAGGTATGTGTCCCACTTTGTTGTTTGGGTATGCGTTTAATTTTGTTATGTGGGTTTGTGTCTCATTTTGTTCTGTGGTTATGTGTCCCACTTTTTTGTGTGGGTATTCGTCCAATATTGTCTAGGCACCTATATATAAAAAGCCCCAGAATAACCAATGTAAAACAAATTTGATTTCCACAAATTTTGTTTTATATTGTCCGAAATTGTTGATGTTTGTCAATTCGGTTCCGTTGTGAAAGTTATTTTTCAAATTTGATTTCCGTATTGCAATTTCGTCCCGTAATATTTGGAAATGAAAGCAAGAAATGTGTTGCAGCCAACACCAAATGGTAGTCAATTTTATTCTTGTCAAAGGGGGATAATCCATACCATTATCATCTTTTCAAAGTTATTGCTATGGTAATTTCTCTGAAATCCTGAATCCTGATTAATTTGCTGATAAAGAAGGGACATAATGGTGTTTTGATCACATGATCCCAAAATTGTTGATTATTATTTGATTTCAGATCATCAATTAAGTAGATATAAGAAGATGTGGTATGAGTGCCAATGAGACAACTCTCCATCCAAGGCATTGCTTTTTTAACATTACTTACCACAAGTTCGATGAATGACAACATTTCTAGTCATCAGCAATGCATAGATGTATAAAAACTCCGGCCATTTTATAGATAAATCTGGTTACCGTGTAACAGAAACAGGGGCAGGAGGATTTTTTTTTTTTGGGGGGGGGGAGGGGGTATTCATTTTTCACTTATGGCTAGGTTGACTTTTGTTTCTTTTTTGTACAGAATTATGTTCTGCGTTTTGTTGGGTAGGACAAATTGATTTACATCCTATCTTGGACGATATATTTTTTTATAGTTATTACCAGGCCAGGATACTGAATATCAAAATCCCCTACTCCTCTCTTAAATCAAATGGACGTCCCCTTATCTGCCTGGAAAACACATTACATTGTACCACATAATAGACCTTACGATAATCAGGCTGCTACTATTAAAATTGTTAAATATACCATGCTTAATATACTTTTCAGTCAGCAAAATTGTAGGTGTGTTTCACTCTAATGTGAACTGAGAGTTTATGTTTCACTCTATTGTGAGCTGAGAGTTGATGTTTCACTCTACTGTGAGCTGAGAGTTAATTTTTCACTCTACTGTGAGCTGAGAGTTAATGTTTCACTCTACTGTGAGCTGAGAGTTCATGTTTCTCTCTTTTGTGGGTATGTGTATCACTTTGTTGTGTGGGTATGTGTCCCACTTTGTTGTGTGGGTATGTGTCCCACTTTGTTGTGTAGGTATGTGTCTCACTTTGTTGCGTAGGTATGTGTCCAACTTTGTCGTGTGGGTATGTGTCCCATTTTGTTGTATGGGTGTGTGTCCCATTTTTTGTGTGTGGGTAGGTGTCCCATTTTATTATGAAGGTATTTGTCTCACTTTGTTGTGATGGTAGGTGTCCTACTTTGTTATGAAGGTATGTGTCCCATTTTGTTAGGTAGGTATGTGTCCCATTTTGTTATGAAGGTATGTGTCCAACTTTGTTATGTGGGTATGTGTCCCACTTTGTTGTGTGGGTATGTGTCCTACTTTGTTATGTAGGTATGTGTCTTATTTTGTTATGCGGGTTTGTGTCTCATTTTGTTCTGTGGTTATGTGTCCCATTTTGTTGTGTGGGTATGTGTCCCACTTTGTTGTGTGGGTATGTGTCCTACTTTGTTATGTAGGTATATGTCCCACTTTGTTATGTAGGTATATATCCCACTTTATTATGTAGGTATGTGTCCCACTCTGTTATGCAGGTATGTGTCCTATTTTGTTATGTAGGTATGTGTCCCACTTTGTTATGTAGGTATGTGTCTTATTTTGTTGTTTGGGTATGCGTTTAATTTTGTTATGTGGGTTTGTGTCTCATTTTGTTCTGTGGTTATGTGTCCCACTTTTTTGTGTGGGTATTCGTCCAATATTGTCTAGGCACCTATATATAAAAAGCCCCAGAATAACCAATGTAAAACAAATTTGATTTCCACAAATTTTGTTTTATATTGGCCGAAATTGTTGATGTTTGTCAATTCGGTTCCATTGTGAAGGTTATTCTTCAAATTTTATTTCCGTATTGCAATTTCGTCCCGTTATGTTTGAAAATGAAAGCAGGAAATGTGTTGCAGCCAACACCAAATGGTAGTCAATTTTATTCTAGTCAAAGGGGGATAATCCATACCATTATCATCTTTTCAAAGTTATTGCTATCATATGGTAATTTCTCTGAAATCTTGAATCCTGATTAATTTGCTGATAAAGAAGGGACATAATGGTGTTTTGATCACATGATCCCAAAATTGACAATTATTATTTGATTTCAGATCATCAATTAAGGCATTGCTTTTTTAACATTATTTACCACAAGTTCGATAAATGACAACATTTCTAGTCATCAGCAATGCATAGGTGTATAAAAACTCCGGCCATTTTATAGATAAATCTGGTTACCGTGTAACAGAAACAGGGACAGGAGGATTTTTTTTTTTGGGGGGGGGAGGGGGGAGGGTATTCATTTTTCACTTATGGCTAGGTTGACTTTTGTTTCTTTTTTGTACAGAATTATGTTCTGCGTTTTGTTGGGTAGGACAAATTGATTTTACTGAATATCAAAATCCCCTACTCTTCTCTTAAATCAAATGGACGTCCCCTTATCTGCCTGGTAAACACATTACATTGTACCACATAATATACCTTACGATAATCAGGCTGCTACTATTAAAATTGTTAAATATATACCATGCTCAATATACTTTTCAGTCAGCCAAATTGTAGGTGTGTTTCACTCTATTGTGAGCTGAGTATGGTATGGTGAGGGGTATGTGTGCCACTTTTGTGTGCGGGTATGTGACCAATTTTGTTTGTCCGCTACTAGATGCCTTGTCGCCTTTTTAAAATGTTCAACAATAACTATAAAATAAGGAAATGTGGTTTGAATGCTTATGAGACAACTATCTAACATAGTTCAAGTGAGCGGATTTAAGCACATATAGGTCACCGTACAGCCTTCAACAATGAACAAATCTAATACCGTCAAGTCAGCTATATATATAAAGGGCCCCGGAATGACCAATATTAAACAAAATAAAATCGTTTCCACAAATTGTATTTCATGATGTCCGAAACTGATGGTGTTGGTAAATTCTGATCCGTTGTGAATGTTTTTTTTCAAATTTGATTACCGTATTCTAATTTCTAAATGTTGGAAAACAAATGCAAGGAATGTGTTACAGCCAACATAAAATGGCAGGAAATTTTATTCTTGTCAAAGGGGATAATCTTTACCACCATTATCAACTTTTCAAACTTCACGTGATCCCAAAATATTCAATTATTATTTGGTTACAGAACATCAATTAAGGCATTATTTTTTGTTACCATCAGTTACCATAAGTTGTATAAATTTGCGTAGAACAACGTTGATTTCCAGTCGTCATAGGCAGCACACAAATGTATCAAAACTCCGCCATTTTATAAATAAAACTGGTTCTAGTTTAACAGAAACAAGCGCAGAAGGACTGTTTGGGGTTGTGGAATATCCATATTTTTACTTGTGGCTAGACTGACTTTCGTACAGAAATAGGCCAAAAATAAAATATAATAAATGTTTGTTTCCCCTCCCACAACCGACCCGGTAAATTCACCGCGACCCAACAAATTCTATTGGCCGTTTGTGTCCAATATTATTTTTTTTCTATGTTGGCTTTTGGTGATACCTTTCTGATGCTGTAGTCCACGAGCGTTTTAATTCAAGGCATTCAAGTTTGCATTGAAGCGTCTTAATGTAACGGAAATAAAAAAAAAACAAACAAAATGGCTGTTCACACGATTTGTGTCTGGAAGGGTGATCTTTAAATAAAAACTGAAGCATCTTTCAACCCACTAAATGCATCTAGATTTGCTTGGTCTTTAACCTATGTTCCTGTATAAAGGATAAAATCTTTGAGTAAAAATGGTCTGAATTATGCTTTAAAATCTATCTACTTTGAACAGTTTGAGAACAAGTTGGAAAAAGAGGGATATTCCCTGTTTTCAGGGAACACCCCAGTTTTCTGGTGTTTAAAAAAAAACAGTTTACAGGGACTTCCTTTTTCTATTTGATTTTATTTTCTATCATGAAATATACAAAAGGGCACGTTTTAACTGCATCAGTAGAATTTGTAAATACTTTTATTTAAACAAGTATTCCAGGAACTACAAAACATGAAGAAGTGAGGCCTTGTTTATTTCTAGAACTAATAAAAAACATACAAATCTTTAGGAATCAATTGACCAAGCTGAATGCTCCAAGTGTAGCTGACCATAACTGAATTATGTTCACTTCTATTGAAAATGTCTATTCATTGAATATTTATGCCCAAGTGATTAACTTATCTTTTTGTCATCTCATAATTGATGATCAAGGCATACATTGGTGAATTGTTTTGTTGTGAGTTACACATAAAATTAGACATGAAATTAGCTTGATTTTTTAACTAATGAAAACACTTGCTATCATAAAACATTGTTATCACATTTAAAAGGTGCACTTTTATAGATTTCATACATAAAACTGACTTAATAAAAATAGAATACCCTATATACTGGGTTTTTAACACCAGAAAACTGTGGTGGAATACCCCACTTTTCATGACTTGAGCCCAACCTGTTGAATTTTGTACACATTAAATGTGGAAAACCATATCAAGGAATGAAATAAAATAATTTGCCTACCTACCTACCCATACCCTGAAAAGCTCAGTCGGGAAGGGGAAACACAGATATTTTTAATGTTGGCCTTACAAATATATATTTTCTATTTTGTTGGGTAGAAAAAATCATTTACATCCTATTTTGGACCAGATAATTTTTTTTTATAGTTCTTACCAATAGGTACTTGAGGACAGTATTATTTTTTCAGCACCCCCCCCCCCCCCCCCCCCTTGTTTTCCTCTCAAATGTTTTATTTTTTTCATTTTCTTTTAATTTCAATTATTATCGCGTTTCTTTTTGTGACATATTTACACAAATATACTAGATATGACACGTATTTACTATTTACTATCAATTCCTAGTTTACTATCCACAGCGGTCACTGCTGATATATATCATAGAAAAACGCGAAATTTAAAGAAAATAAAGAATATTAAACGAATTTTAAAAAAGGGGGGAGGGCTAAAAAAAACTGTCATGTCCCCAAGTACCTATGTTCTAACCAAGCCAGGATATTCAATACCAAAATCTTCTACCCCTAACCTAAATCAAATGAACGTCCCCTTAATTACCTTGAAAAATACAACACTTTAGGTTTCTACCCAGAGTTCTTTAGCTAGTGATACAAATATAAAACAAGTGAATTAATAAACCGCACGGGGACCATATGGACTTTGATAGATAATTGTCTCAGTGGTAATCAGATTACTCCTCCACATTCTATTTTAAATAGTGCTTAATGTGTGCAAACACACCCTTACACCTCTCCACACCCGTGAACTGGTCTGACTATTAGTGCTTAATGTGTGCAAACACACCCTCGCACCTCTCCATACCCGTGAACTGGTCTGACTTTTAGTGTTTAATGTGTGCAAACACACCCTCGCACCTCTCCACACCCGTGAACTGGTCTGACTATTAGTGCTTAATGTGTGCAAACACATCCTCACACCTCTCCACACCCGTGAACTGGTCTGACTATTAGTGCTCAATGTTTGAAAACACACCCGTGCACCTCTCCACACCCGTGAACTGGTCTGACTATTAGTGCTTAATGTTTGTAAACACACCCGTGCACCTCTCCACACCCGTGAACTGGTCTGACTTTTAGTGCTTAATGTATGCAAACACACCCTCGCACCTCTCCACACCCGTGAATTGGTCTGACTATTAGAGCTTAATGTTTGTAAACGCACCCGTGAACTGGTCTGACTGTTAGTGCTTAATGTGTGCAAACACACCCTCGAACCTCTCCACACCCGTGAACTGGTCTGACTATTAGTGCTTAATGTTTGTAAACACACCCGTGCACCTCTCCGCACCCGTGAACTGGTCTGACTTTTAGTGCTTAATGTGTGCAAACACACCCTCGCACCTCTCCACACCCGTGAATTGGTCTAACTATTAGAGCTTAATGTTTGTAAACACACCCGTGAACTGGTCTGACTATAAGGGCTTAATGTGTGCAAGCACACCCGTGAACCTCTCCACACCCGTGAACTGGTCTGACCAGTAGCCAAACTACACGACAATCACTTCTTTATAAATTGAAAGAAATAATACAAATGATTCATTAAACACTTTATTTTTTGTGAGGTTTGTGTTGCTTAGTCTTTTGTTTTCTATGTAGTGTTTGTGGGCGTGTTCCTGTTTCATCGTTTTTCGTTTTATTATTCCTTGGTGTTGTCAGTCGATTGTTTTCTATATAGTGTTTTGTGCGCTTGTTCCTGTTTTTGTCCTTTTTCGTTTTATTAATTATTCCTTGGTGTTGCCAGTCTATTGTTTTCTATGTAGTGTTTTGTGCGCATGTTCCTGTTGTCGTCGTTTTTCGTTTTATTATTCCTTGGTGTTGTCAGTCTATTGTGTTCTGTGTAGTGTTTTGTGGGCATGTTCCTGTTTTCGTCGTTTTTCGTTTCATTATTCCTTGGTGTTGTCAGTCTATTGTTTTCTATGAAGTGTTTTGTGCGCATGTTCCTGTTTTCGTCGTTTTTCGTTTTATTATTCCTTTGTGTTGTCAGTCTATTGTTTTCTATGTAATGTTTTGGGCACGTGTTCCTGTTTTTGTCGTTTTTCGTTTTATTATTCCTTGATGTTGTCAGTTCATTTTTGACTAGTGAGTTTTGAATGTTCCGTTGATATCTTTCGCCTCTTTTTTAAAAGGGGTCTGGGTTGGATAATTTTGTATTTTTTATATGTGGGCCATTTTTCTATATTTGCTGATTGTTTGCTCATTATACTCTATTCTTTATTTTTGCAACCCATTATTTTATATTTTTTTATTTTGCTTTTGCCCATTTTCCAAGATCCTATATTTATATTTTTTTATTATTCTCTATTCTGTAAACCCCACCCAGACCCTCACAAAATCCTGTTCCATCTCTAACTCAAAAGAGAGGAATCATTTAGGCAATATTATCAAGAAAAAAAGTCATCATTTTTTTATTGTTTTAATAGAAAATAACAATAGCTCGCTTGCATATAATTCGATTCAATACTGACCAAAATGGATTATAAATTAAATAACATATAAGGCCACACATACTTAATATATTCCGTTCTCTCTGAAAATAAATCTATATATAAACATTAGATTTGTTTATTTACTTTTTTTTAAATCTTTAACAATTTAATATTATTATTATATCTTACCGGATGAATATTGATTTTTATTGGTAAACGGCACATTTTGAAAGGAAATAAACTTTATGTTAAAATTCTAAAGAGATCACTTGAGAAGAAGCGTAAAAAACATGCAATCATACAAAAATTAAAGAAATTTTATTTAAAAAAAAAGAAGTTAAACAGGACTTAAAACTTTAAAACATTTTTTTATTATATCAATGAACGAAATATAAGTCCAATGTAGTCTCCACACAACACGTTTTAACATATACAAGATATCTAATACATTATTTTGTCTTTATCGTCCGAATAAACTTGCTGCCGGGTCGGAATACGGAATTTCCCCGATGCGATACCCGGAAAATGTTGTGTAGATTTGATCAGCTTTCCCAAAGAGGGTAAATTCTTGTCCAGGTCTTGCTCTTACAGCAACAGTCTCTCCTTTGCGCAGACTCACAATGACGGAATTTCCGGCTGTTGAATGACTGTTAAAACCAGAGACAGACACTAATGAATCAATGTTTTTAATTAATTCAATCCACATTGCTCTATCCTTGTTCGAGTTGTACGCATGTGCATGGAACACATATACTCCAGTATCTGGAGCAGTGAACTCACCCGTGTCAACAGAATATCCGTCTCCGAAGTTGGCAAAAACTTTATCATAGACAATTGTTTCGGAGTAAGACATGTGCAAGGTGCTTGTTAAACCGACGGAGAAGGCTATTGTACTTTGCTTTCCTGATCTGTCGTTCTGAGGTGGACCTACAATACACATCAAATAAAAGTCACAGAATTATAATTACATCAATCTGAGGAGGACTTACAATACACATCAAATAAAAGTCACCGAATTATAATTACATCAATCGGAGATGGACCTACACGTCAAATAAAAGTTACCGAGTTATAATTACATCAATTAGTTTTTTCTTCGGTTATCTTATTATAATGTTTACATGTAGTCAGTATCATCACTAATTAAGGCAGTTAGCCAGTCATTTTAAGAACCACTGCAAGGTATATATATATAAATGGTAGTCTGTTTTTAAAAAAAAATAAGTATTTTTCATGAACATTATACAAAAATAAAACAGAACACAAGTATTTGTATTTTTTTCCAAATTAAAGCCATTGTCAGTCCCGTAAAATGATCCAATTGTTAGTGTTTTGAAAGCTATATCATGTTCAGGAGGGGTATTGTCGAAATATACCAGTCTGCATTGTTCATTCTGATTTAATCTGCATGGAAGCAGCACAAGCTTCATTGGAATGATAAAAAGCCTCGTTTCTATTTTTATAGTTTTTTATTATGTTGTGCTGTTACACCACTGTCCTAGGTTAGGGAGAGGGGGGTTGAGCGCTCACAAACATTTTTAAACCCGCCACATTCTTTATGTGCCCGTCCCAAGTCAGGAGCCTGTAGTTCAGTAGTTATCGTTGGTTCATGTCTGTCATATTTGATTCTCGTTAATCGTTTTGTTATAAATTAGGCCGTTCGATTTCGCAATTGAATTGTTTCATATTTTTCTTGTCGAGTCCTTTTATAGCCGACTATACGGTATGGGTTTTTCTCATTGTTGAAGGCCATACGGTTGCCTATAATTGCTTACATCCTCTTTATTTGAACTTTGATGGATAATTGTCTCATTGGCAATCATACCTCATCTCCTTATTTTTATATGGACAGATCGCAAACTTTAGAATAGTTTTCAGCAAATGCAAGCCTCCTTTAAAACTGTTATCCAACATGGTTATACTTATATGTTCTTGTACCGTTGTTCTTGTTGTAATTTTTCATATGGATGAATTGAGATTTTTGGTATGTACTATGAGACAGCAATTCAACAAAACAATACACAAAAATATATCTACAGATGAATAGATGATGACTACAATAATCACTACAATAACCAACAATTTCAAAAATAGTATTTTTTAAACGTAAATAATAATATTTTCAGAAATGTCACAATTACAAAACAGAGCGGTAGATAGTTGATTGCTTAAAAAACGTTTAGTGGCAAGTATGTCATGCCAATTCAGGACGATCAAACTTAATGAAAATAGTAAAGATTATTTAAGGATGTTCGCTACTCTTGAACAGATATTCGGAAGCCTCTAGTTTTATCCATGTAGCGCCAATCAAAATTTTGCCCACTTACCCCTACTTTTCTTTTCATAATTTTATAACAAATAGTTTTAAAAGCCATTTTTGAAAACATTATAAAATCCTTGTTATTTTTTCATAGTTTTTGAAGGAAAAAGTTACCAATGTTAAATATAAGAAAAATCTAGGGAGAATCATTTCCCGCCAAATTTTCAATTGATTTTATCCCAAAAGCAAGGACACGGACCTGTCATTTTGTTCTACTTTTAAAGTTCCGTTATTTATATAGTATCAATTTATAATAGTCTTTTTAAAAGCTTGTTACTTTGAAAACAGAGGAGCGAATAATTTATAGCAGTCTTTTCAAGAGCTTAGTATTCTAAAACAGAGGAGCGAACAGCTCCTCTGTTTTTTTTTATAATAACAAGCTTTTAAAAAGACTGTTATAAATTGATAGACTGATTGTTGCAAATTCCTTGGAGATCCGTCAAAACTAAAACAAAGTTTAGTCAGAGGTAAAATTCTTACAACAAAAACTTGGAGATTCGTTATTAAGCTATGAAGATAAAATTTGAAGGTTTTTGTTTGTCTATTTTACAAAAATGGAATAAAAATAATGAAATAATACGTAAATATGTCGATCAAGGATATACTTATCTTGATAACTGTTTAAATTCTAAGACCCCCTTGAATTTATTTAATATTTACACGTAGATTTTATTTAATTCTTCTGTAAACTTTATGACAGGTGATCTATAACAGTCAGACAAAATAACCTTGTGATTATTTGATCTAATTCCTCATATACAGGTCTTTCTTGTACCTAAAAAGGGGACCGAAACTCGGATTTATTGTTAAATTGTAATTTTAATAAGGATCTGAAAAACAACTTTTTTCAGTGATTCAGGGATAAACATTTCTGATCAAGATTCTTCTGCTAAATAAAAGATGTCTTTTATACTGACACATAATAAACACCATTACAAGTGAATACTGCAAACCAACTAATTTTCGCGACTTTCGCGAGGAAGAAAAATAACGCGAATATTCATCGTCGCAAATATTTAAAATTTCAATGTTCTCTTATTTGAAAATATCAAGATGAGTGAATTTGAAAATCGCGAAAACAAATCGCCGCAAATTGGCCTAGAAAAGGCTAAACGCGAAATAAAGTATCCGCGAAAATAAGTTGGTTTACAGCATATTGGTGATCTATATTAAAAAGTCATTATAATTGAAGACAGGGGACATTGGACTATTTACTTGATTAATATGATTGTATATTTGTGAATTTTTATTTTTATTGTAGAATTATTTGTATATGTACTTTTATTTTACACGATTTGTTAAATGTTTATCGGATATTTCGTTTCCGTTTACAGTTCATTTATAAAACATTTTTGTAGCAACTCTTTGAAGGACCTGTAAGTGGCCTGTTGCAAGACGTAATTGCTGACCGTACCCGATTTTCACGGCCTTTTTTTAGGTGACAGTCCCTCCCGCTAATCCGGTATCTTATCTTATGTTCATCCATGCAGTCAATCAATGATCATATGCCAGATACTATTGTACCCCTCCCTCCCGTAAAATCGAATGGTAGTCCCCTTACTTTTAGAACTATTGACGAAAAATATCAAATACAAATAGAATTGAAATCTGTTATCAGGTCATGAACTTTCAATGGCATTTCTAAACGCGGTGTTTAAATAGAATAAATAAACAAAAACTTGAACATCAGTTCTACACAAGCTATAAAAAATTCGTTTACCTCTCTTTTTTCTGGTGTAAATTACTCAAAAACTAGTTTGGCGTGTTGACAGCTATATTAAATCTCTAAGTGCCAAAAGGTCAAAATATTGTCTACTAAATATTGTATGCTTATTACAATGTCCTACCTGTAACTCTTCCACTGCAGATTGTAAGTCCAACTATAAGTACTAAACACTCTAAGTACGCCATCTTTGTACTCTACAAACAAACAGTATTTTATCTTAATTCTAAATTCAGTTATAAAAAAAGAACACAAAAATGGGATTGACATGCTTGCAGTAACTTCTTATGTTCTCTTGCGACACAAAGTGTATTTCAATAATTTGAACAAAATAAAAAAAAATATATATAAATACATGAAATAAATGTAGAGCATACAAATCTGAATTCGTCGTAGTTGATACTAGTACAATTAAATCCTGATCTTTATACAGTATTATAAACCACACCCAAACAGATCGCCAAAACTTTTGTCGTGTCCAATACATTGAACATGAACAAGTAAGAACGGTTGTAGAACTAGTTACACATTTCACGTTTCTTTATATATCAATTATACAAATAGTCAACAGGAAAACTGATTTTCAAACGAAATGGAATATATTATCTACAGAACATGCAATAAGAAGTAACAAATTCAAATCAATATGATAAATATTTTTTAACGATATTCAATGTATAGTCGAAAAGTATTGAAAAAAGTATCCGCTATTAAAACGATACATTAACTGAAAAAAACAATCTCCAAAAACATCATGTAAATTGAAGATAAAAAATGAAGAATAATTCAAAGTGCAATTACAACTATACAAACTGTACATTTGACAATTCCGTCAGACAAAAAGCAGTATGAAACTCCTGTCAAAGCATAAACATTTCTGTTTAAATATTCTAAAAGCTTTGTATTATATGAAATATTTACATCAGTTAGGTACTCTTGATTTTGTTTGACAAATTGTTCTATACAGCCTAGTTTCAAATACAGTATCTGTCAGACATAATAGACAAGAGAGAATGAAGAATATGCCGAATTGATTGATTGAATGATTTTTTAAATTGCTTAACATCCAGTGGCAAATGTTTCATACATATTCAGGACGAATTTACAATACCAGCTATATTTCAAATTACAAATTGGAATTATTTATTAAAATCATTTTAACATTTGCAATTTATTCATAAATATGAGTCAAATATTGTATTGAATTAATAAATATGAAATTCTAATCGGAAAAGATTTGAAAAATGTTTTTACCGCAAAAATAAAAATAATTGTAATGTATCCGCATTAATAGACTTTTGTAGGTTGGCTAGGTTAAGTAAATTAGTATTAAAATATTAAAATTTCAAACAATAAAAGAAAATGATTCAAATCATAAACTTACTTCAAGTTTTCTCTTATTGCACACAATTAATTTCGTACCGTGTTTGATGCAGTTGCAATATTTATAAAGCTCAGGAGTGGGTGGGATTGATTTTTATGTCGGTTTGCGAAGGACATATTTTTGTTGGTGCGCTGTGGTGTTTGGTCCGTGTGACTTATCTTGACACATTGACAGTTAACTAATAACAAAAATTAAAAGAAACCCCATTCATTAAATAAGAACGTACCGCCTTTTTAAATTGTACTAGTATTTCAAGTATATCTTATTTGATTTTACAAACATATTGAAAATATTTCATAATTTAAGAAAATTGTCTTTTCATGGTGTTTCTTCCTAAGGTTACCGGAAAATCGTTTGCTTCTTATGATTCACAAAGATAAGGACCCGAATTTGGGGGAGGTTGGAAAAGGAAGGGGTCTTCATTTCTGTGTTCCTTAATTTTTATGCCATTTTTCTATATTTTTTCAATTTATTACCTATTATACTATATTCTTTATATTTGAGCAACCCTGTATCTGTATTCTTTATATTTGAGCAACCCTGTATCTTTATTCTTTATATTTGAGAAAACCTGTATCTTTATTCTTGATATTTGAGCAACCCTTTGTTCTCTATTCTTCATATTTGAGCAACCCTTTATTCTCTATTTTTTAAAACTTAAACAACCCTTTGTTCTTGATATTTGAGCAACCCTTTGATCTCTATTCTTTATATTTGAGCAACCCTGTATTCTTTATCATTTATATTTAAGCAACCCTTTATTCTATATTCTTTCTATTTGAGTAATACATTATTCTTTTTTCTATATATTTCGTTAAAAGCTTCGTCTGGTGGCTGTTAATGGTGATCTCGTTTGGTTAAAAGCTTCGTCTGGTTGCTGTTAATGGTGATATCGTTTGGTTAAAAGCTTCGTCTGGTTGCTATTAATGGTGATCTCGTTTGAACAAAAACTTCGTCTGGTGGCTGTTTGTGGTGATCTCGTTTGAATAAAAACTTCGTCTGGTGGCTGTTAATGGTGATCTCGTTTGGATAAAAACTTCGTCTAGTGGCTGTTTATAGTGATCTCGTTTGAATAAAAACTTCGTCTGGTGGCTGTTAATGGTGATCTCGTTTGGATAAAAACTTCGTCTAGTGGCTGTTTATGGTGATCTCGTTTGAATAAAAGCTTCGTCTGGTGACTGTTAATGGTGATTTCGTTTGAATAAAAACTTCGTCTGGTGGCTGTTAATGGTGATTTTGTTCGGATAAAAGCTTCGCATGGTTTCTGTTAATGGTGATCTTGTTTGGATAAAAGCTTCGTCTGGTTGCAGTTAATGGTGATCTCGTTTGAACAAAAACTTCGCCTGGTGGCTGTTTATTGTGATGTCGTTTGGATAAAAACTTCGTCTGGTTGCTGTTAGTGGTGAACTCGTTTGGATAAAAACTTCACCTGGTGGCTGTTTATTGTGATGTCGTTTGGATAAAAACTTCGTCTGGTGGCTGTTAATGGTGAACTCGTTTGAACAAAAACTTCGTCTGGGGGCTGTTAATGGTGATCTCGTTTGGATTAAAGCTTTTTTCTGTTGGACGTATATGGTTATCTCGTACAGATAAAAACTTCGCTTAGTTGCTATTTATGGCGATGTCGTTTGGATAAAAGCTTCGTCTGGTGGCTGCTAATGGTGAACTTGTTTGGATAAAAGCTTCGTCTGGATACTGTTAATGGTGGTTTCGTTAGGATAAAAGCTTCGTCTGGTGGCTGTTTATAGTGATCTCGTTTGAATAAAAATCTTCGTCTGGTGGCTGTTAATGGTGATCTCGTTTGGTTAAAAGCTTCGTCTGGTGGCTGTTAATGGTGATCTCGTTTGTTTAAAAGCTTCGTCTGGTTGCTGTTAATGGTGATCTCGTTCGGTTAAAAGCTTCGTCTGGTTTCTGTTAATGGTGATCTCGTTTGGTCAAAAGCTTCGTCTTGTTGCTGTTAATGGTGATCTCTTTTGGTTAAAAGCTTCGTCTGTTTGCTGTTAATGGTGATCTCGTTTGGTTAAAAGCTTCGTCTGGTTGCTGTTAATGGTGATCTCGTTTGGTTAAAAGCTTCGTCTGGTGGCTGTTTATAGTGATCTCGTTTGGTTAAAAGCTTCGTCGGGTGGCTGTTAATGGTGATCTCGTTTGGTTAAAAGCTTCGTCTGGTGGCTGTTTATAGTGATCTCGTTTGGTTAAAAGCTTCGTCGGTTGGCTGTTAATGGTGATATCGTTTGGTTAAAAGCTTCGTCTGGTGGCTGTTTATAGTGATCTCGTTTGGTTAAAAGCTTCGTCGGGTGGCTGTTTCATTTAAGTACACCCCTAATTTATTATATCTTATTGAAATGTTGTTATTAGCAAAAACGATAAAACTTAAATAAATGATTTTACGTTCCCACAGTTCTTATATATGTGTAGAAATCATTAATGTATTGTTTTAAAGTGCTGTTAGGTTGCTCCTATTGCATGTACTAGAGCTATCGAAGAAACTTCAGACATGTTTTTATTTGTGTCCTTTGAATTGCTCAAATTTTTTCCGCCTCCCTCCTCCCCTCCTCTCCATTCCCTTAAGGCACTGAAAACGAAAGTCAATGGAAGCCAAGCATAGAAACAAAATATTCATGCATTTGAGCGAGCATAGATAAAGACATATGAGTAAAAATTAACAAATGCTTATTTTTAGAGGCCTGAATCAATTAATGTTAAAGAAAAACTTTTAGCCTTATAGTTGTCAAGTTCATTGTGTATCCAAACTACGTCATAATCAAAACAATAAATATACAATGCGAAGTATAGGTTTCGTTGTCTGTGTTTTGATTAAGACTACAAAATATTTATGACATAGCCGTTTCAAATTTGTATCAATAAACTGTCATTTGAACAGGTGCTTGATTCTTAATTAAAGGGTGGGTCTCGAATAGAATCATTTTCTCAGTACAATTCAAACATGTAGAATTGTATTCATCTTTGATATATTAGATTTAGGTATTTACTTTACTCATTTTGATATGATAACTACTTGCAAATCTGCAATTCATTGATTAGTTGAAGTGCAGAAGTTGTTGACAAATAGTTGTTGAAAAAAGTATCTATGGTATCGTGTTGTGTATAAAAGCATGATGTATGAGTGTCTGGATGGGGTCCTTCATTTCTGTATTCTTTAATTTTTTTTTTTCATTTTTCTCTTTTCTTTATATTTTTTATCCATTATTTTCTACTTTTTATATTTTTTACCCATTATTCTCTATTCGTTATATTTTAGCACCCCTTTTTCTCTATTCTTTTTTTTTTTTGCCCTTTATTCTGCACATTTTGCCCATTATTCTCTATTCTGTAAACCCCGTCGAGACCCTCATGTATTTGCAGTAGATTTCTGACGAAAAAGACATGTAGGATTCTTCATTTCTAATCATTTATTTAAATCTAAAGAAAATAAAATGCATTTTAATTGAATTATCTGGATATAAGTCTAGTGGGAATGACCAAAGCCAAAAGTTTAGAGATTAACGGAATGACTTTTAACTTTTGTGTTGTTTTGTTGCTGTGTCATTGGCGACATCTCAGCATACACATTGACCATACATGTCCATTGACCATACATATCCGTTGACCATACATATCCATTGACCATACATATCCGTTGACCATACATATCCGTTGACCATACATATCCGTTGACCATACATATCCATTGACCATACATATTCATTGACCATACATATCCGTTGACCATTCATATCCATTGACCATACATATCCATTGACCATACATATCCATTGACCATACATATCCATTGACCATACATAT